AGCTTCATGTGTTTTCCATAAACCCAGGGTACAGACTGCTTAAAACAGCTTTTTTTTTTGCTTTTTTCCCCTTTTTTTTTTTTGCTTTTTCTCTAATAAAAACAAAAACAAAACCAGGGAAAAAGCATTTGGATTCATGCCCAAAGTCCCATTTTAAGGTTGTGTGAGTTTTTCTCCCAGCTACCTAATGGTACAGAGAGACAATCGTAGAGAGAGAGCTATAAAATGTTCACTATATGTAAAAAGCTGTACTGAAAGAGCATTGTTGAAGTTGCAAAATGAAGTACTCAAGAGACAGCAAAGCAAGAATTAACCTTGCTTCCCTTCATATGCAACATCATGTAGTCTTTAAATACACCATGACGTGGGGTTTTTTTCTAGACCCTCCCCGCACCTCATTCAGGGTACGTGAAGAATGGACTTCAAGTAATGAGTATGTCTTTGAAATTTTTGTTATTTTTATTGTTCAGTGTGTGTCCCTAGGCCTCGCCCATGCACACCACTGAAACCCTGAGCTGAAGACAGAATTATTCATTTCCTTACGGGCTTCCCTATGGTGCTCATCACGCAAAGCTCCATGAGCTTCGTGAAGGTTAATTTGTCTTAACAAAACCTCTCCGAAGTGACAGGGTAATATATCCCACTTTACAGACAGGCAGCAGAGGCACACAGGCAACAGTCAATGCTGAGCTACCCAGGACCCAGGTCATGGATTTTGTCATGTTTTGTAATAATTTGCACCTTCAAGCATAGCACTCATTCACTTTAATTGTAGCTGTGACTGCTCAGTGCTTCTTTATCTCAGCCCTCAGGATCTTGAGGTGGGCATTCAGAAATAAGAAGCACACCATTACTGACCATCTATGAAACATCCGATGTAAGGGACTGTGCAGCATTGCTCAGGAACTCTGGTAGTCAGAGACAGGCTCCGCTTCTCCAAGCCAGAACTTAGCTGCCCTGAGAGGAAGGAATCCTTTCTCTTCCAATATTTGTAAGAAATAAGGCAGACTTACCATGTACAATGGCATCAGTTACTTCCCGGGCCTGAGCAGGAAGCTGTTCTTAGACTAGGACTTGTCTACTGAGTGAAGTATGAGACCAGGTTAAAAATAGGAGGGGTTCACCTTAAGTAGAGCTTGCTCATAATTGCATGTGAATGAAAGGAATGAATTAAGGTAATGGACAAACTTCATGGTGACATCTTCTAACTTTCAACCCCTTCTTTGGTGCTTCAGCTTCTTGTCACATCTTTCTTTTCTCTTGCTTTTCTCCTGTTTCTCCAGATTCTAATTACAGGCTTTTTTCATGCAGCTAGTTCCTTTACATGTCTGTTCACTCTGTGAAGATGCTGTATATGCACTTAGTCAGCATTCAAGGCTGTGAGGAGTTTAGGCACGATGAACGAGCACAGGCTTCTAAGAGATAGGAGCTGTTATTGAGTGTATGCAACCCATATTTTTACAGACCTTTGAATATGGCCAAATGTGTAGGAATTTTCACAAGAGTGGCAAAGGTACAATGTCCAAACACAAATGATAACTCTATAAAATATCATGTCCCTGATCCAAAGAGTAAGAGTGTGAGGGTATTTCAAATAAAAGCTCTTAAAGGTAAAACAGTACTTACTTCTAACCTTTATTATAATCCCCTCCTCTTCCACTGTTGGTTTCATGGATAGTTGATACATGTTTGAATAAAAGTAGGGAAAAAACCCCAAACCTAACCACCACCTCAAACCCTGCAAGGCATAGATAGCATGAGAAACATCACAGCCCAAATGCTTAGTCTCACAAAATTACACTTTTACAAATGACGAGCATGGAGTAGCATACTAGCATACTACGAGTATGGCTTGTGTTTATGCAGAACAGTAATCAGAACAAGCAATCCCACTGAAGTAACAAAAAGCATCATCTGGCAAGTATTCTTCAGACTGGTAAGTGTCCCAAATGCTACTAGTTTTGAAATAAAAGTAACGATGAAACAAAGCTGAAAATATCAAACAATCAAATAATGTCAATCAAAATATCAAAAAATAACTTCTTTTTGTTTTCATTTTTAACTGAGCTTGTTGGATAGCAACACTCAGTCATGGTCTCATGCAGCGAGATAAGTCATCAGTTGACCAGCTTCGTGCAGGGCAAGGCAGCCCATGTCTTTGTGAGACCAAAGCACTCCAACCTTATTGCTGACTGGCAGCACAATAGCTTTTGTTTCTAACCTTTATTGAGCTTGGAATCGTAACCTCCATAGCCACTTTCTTCCTTAATAGTTAAAACAGGTGCATAGACCTGGGGTCTGTCAGCTGGGCAGAGTGGTGAACATGCGTGGCCGTTTATGGTTTTGAAGTACCACTTGATCTGGAACATGTACTGAAGTAGTAATATGACACAGGATGAACTACAGAATTCAGCTCCAAGGCAGCATAAATGGGTCTTCCATTATTACATTTCTCTGGCATGTTTGAAAAGTCATTCCCCTGTGGATGGACGTTCTGGCTATGACCTGGGAGAGTGTCCAGAGATGACTCATCTGTTAGAATCATTGAAAGGGGGAAAAAGAGGCAGTAAAAACCTTACATAAACCATATCATTCATGCCATAAAGCACAACTGATACTTCTCACCTAAGTTAGGCTACATGAAAACTCTTTCTACAGCACAAAAAGCAGAGATTTCACACAAGGTAAATAGACACATTCACTGCCCAGATTCATACAGCATGGTTGATTGTGGACAAGCCTCATCCATCAGGGTGAAATTTAACATTGACAGCATGAGGTGGATTATTTCTGTTTTCTGCTTGCAATATTTGACAGAATCATATGGCTTGTTGCAGCACATGAATGAAGTAAAAATAATAAACATGTAAACAACTTTTAGGATTCTTTCCATTAAATCCATTTCCTAATAAATACTTCCTCTGTTTTGATATTTTCATAACCGTGTATAATATTTTGTACCTCCCTGTGACAGTAATTTAAGATTTCATTAGTTCCATTGACTACAATGTATTTGGGAGAATTATTCTTGTTTCTAAATTACAAATTGATAAAATTAAATTTACCTATCAAGTGTCTTGAATTGGAATAAGCAAAAAAGAGAAAAAAGTGATCTATTTTTGTTTTCTGCTTTCCTTCTAAAGCAGGTGATGCTGCTTAGATTCTTTTTCCTTCTGTCTAATTTACATTTAACTTGGCTGCTGATAATATGTTTCTAATTTGTAATTTCAACTGATTACTGATGACGTACATGGGTTTGAAGTGAATCCTATAATCAGTCTTCATTTTCAGGAATGACTTAGGATTTTGGCTGCCCATCTAAAAAGGTTTTGATTTCTTTTACAGAAATTATTGAAACGTTCACCATCTGAACCTGTAAAGACCCCTATAGTGTGTGTCTAATCACTGAATCACTCAGTCCTTGGCTACTTCAGGTAATTTAGGTCCACCACCTTTAAAGACTTGTGCTTTTCTTCTGTTTTGCAGGTTTTCTTTGGTTTTGTATATATCCATCATGACCTCCTTTAAAGTAATTAAAGCTCTGTGGTAATAGAAAATCTTTCAGGCAACATAATTATTTTCCTATTTGGGGGATCATTTTAATAATTTACATTATATTTGACTTGTACTCATTTTTTACTCAGAATTATTGCTATGCTTAAGATATGACATCAATGGAATAGACCATTACCATGGAAAAATTACCATGCCTTCCTTAGTTTCATAAATAATGATGGAAACTCATGCAATTATAAAAAAAAATAAATGCTAAAATGTAAACAGAAGGATTGTTCTCCAGTCAGATGGCATGAGTTCTGTGAAAGAGATCTCTGCAGCTATGTCAGATGTCTTCTATGCATGTAATAATTTGGATGGTGCAGCAAGTAAGGTGAAAGTTGCATCTTGTATCATTGTGGAACTGCTGCACTCCCATTGCCAGGAATGACAGAACCTGTCCAGTTCTTCATCCAACAGCAAAACATATTGCCCATGCGGTTAAAATTCTCTTTAATTTGGTACGGTTTATATCTTTTTTTAGTCTGTGATTAGCAGTTAAGTTCAGCTATTTGGCAGTCTGAGTGATTATCAGGTGCTCTTTTCAGATTCTATTTAGTCTTTGTCTCAGCCTTGTGAAGGTATTTGGTGTTTGCTTAGTGCAACAAGCACTTTCTAGATGGCTTCTTACTACAAGGAGCACGATGCTTTTAGTCAGAGAACTTCCCTCAGTGCAGATGTTTTTCAGGGTGTTTTGAACACCTAATACAGTCAAGGTTAGTCTCTTGTCTAAGCATTATTAATATACATAGGCAGAAAACAGGGAAGAGAGAAGGAAACATTCACTGCAGGAGGAAGCATTCTTCTAATATGCTGTAAACACCTTCTCTGGTGTACATAAATATATATGTTACTGTGAGTAATCTGTAGGATATCAAAATCCATTTTTATCTAGCTAAATATTTTTTCCATAGACATCTATATAAATACATGTATCCTAAGCACACTCTAAGTATCATCTTCTTTATCTGTCTTTGAAGACAAAATGAACAACATTTTAATGTAAGATGTTAGAAGCATAGTTATTTGGAGCAGGCAATAGCGAGTGCAATAGGATTACTGAGTAACTATTTTCCCCTAGACCCTGTAAGAGGGAGAGAAAAAGGAGAAACCAGAAACAGCTTAACTCACCAAAAATCAAACCACTGCATTGCCCTCTTAGCCACTGAGTGTTTTGAGATGTAAGACCGAAGATTACATCAGTACAATAAAGGCTCCCTGCTCTCTCTACAATCACAAGCAGTACACTATGCA